AAGCAACTCTAAATTAAGGTTTTCTTCAATTTGATGAGTTAAAGGTCAGTGTTTTCACTATCTAGTGATTTTATCATTTTGTTCCTCTTTTTTTTAGGCTTTTGCCATAGGGTGTGTGCTCATCAGAGAGACAGAGAAAGGCAGTGAGAGGAAAAGTGAGAAATCACCCCTGGGGGGTGACCACGCTACAATCCTTTCCTCTTCATTCTCCTCTTGGAATTGTGGGCACGCATTCACACGCGTCTGGCATGATGTTCAAGCCCCCAGGTCTGGGATTTGAACAGCAGTCGGACATGTGGGAGTCCAGCACCTTAACCAACACACCACCTGCTGGCTTCTAATTTTATTCGTTTTGATTTTTAAAATTGATTTTCTAATAAATAACTTGTTCATATGTTAAGTATTCAAAAAATGAAAAATATATACTGCAGTAATTCTCTCTCCTACCCTAGCTCCCATTGGACAATCAACTAATCTTACTAAATTCTCAGGCATCCTTCCAGATGCTGTGTTGAAGGAGTGAATGCATTTACGAGCAAATCTCCAGTTCTTCACATAAATACTAACTTACTATACTTAGTGTTCTGTTCCTTGATCTTTTAGATTAACAATGTTTGGTGATTAGATCCTGTCAGTACATGAAGAACTTCCTGCTTTTTCTTATGACTGCATAGCATTCTATTATATAAATCAAGGTGCTATCATTTACTCCACATTTCCCCATTGATTTAGGCAGTTTCTGATCTCTTTTTTAAAAAATTGTTTTATTTAATTTTATTTATTATTATTTTTCAATTTAACCAGAGAGAGAGAGAGAGCAAGAAAGTGAGAAAGCAAGCTGCCAGGTCCAGGACTCGGATTACAATCAGCCATGTGGGAGTCCAGCATCTTAACCACCACGCCATCTGTTGGCTGCTGGTTTCTGATTTTTTTGCAATGACAAACAACACTACAGTGAACAACATGTACATAAGTTTTTTCATAGTTCAAGCCTTTTTGTAGATATATTTCTCAAAGTGAAATTTTAGATCAAAGAGTGTGTGTATTTCATGTTTTGAGAGATATTGCTATAGAAGTCTGATCAATTACATTTTCTCCAGAAATGTGGCAGAAGCAGAATGCTTGTTTTCCCACCCAATTACATACCTTACGTGTTTGTCAACATTTTTATCTCTGCAAATCTAATAAATTAAAAAATGGTATCATATATTTGCATTTCTCTTAATGCATATTAGTGAAGTTGAGCACTTTTTTTTTTTGAGAAATTTTTGCTAAAGGGCGCGTGTGCTCGCCAGAAAGACAGAGACAGAGAGACAGAGAGACAGAAAGACAGAACCAACCCCCAGTGGGGATGGCCACACTGCAATCCTTTCTTCTCCATTCTCTTCTCGGGATCTTGGGCATGCATGCACATGTGCCCAGCGTGAGTTTTAAGCCACCTGGTCCAGGACTCGAACCACGGTCGACTACATGGGAGTCCAGCAACATAGCCATTATGCTAACTGCTGGTACTGAACATCTTTTCTTATGTTTAGAAGCAATTTATATATATATATATGTTTTTGGTTTTTGTTTTTTGGGACAGAGGGTACATATGTTTACCAGAGAGAAATAGAGAGAAGAGGAGAAAGCACCCCTCATGGGGCATAGTCATACCACGATCCTCTCTCCTCCATTTCTCCATCCTTTTAGGATTTGGGCAAATGTGCCCAATGTGTTTCTCAAGCTACCAAGTCTGAGACTCAATCCACGTGGTTGGCCATGTTGCATCTGGCTGCCCTCACCACCAGGCCAAACAGCTGGCCAGCCATAGTGTTGTTTTTAAGTGACACAGATTAGTTGTACATATTTATGGGGTACAATGTGCTGTTTCAGTACACGTATATCCGGTGTGACGATTAAATCAGGATATTTAGTATCCATCACTTGAAACATTTATCATTTATTTGTGATGAGAACATTCTAAATCCCCTCTGCAGAGCCAGTTACATTTTCTTCTCTGTATTTCTATATTTTTCTTGCCCATTTTTTACTATACATTTCTTTTTTTATTTATTTGTTGTGGTTTTCAAGCTGCCAGATCCATTACTTGAACCACAGTAGGCCATGTGGGAATCCAGTACCTTTACCACCATGCCCCCTGTTGGCCCTTCTTTGCCTATTTGATGGTCTTTTCCTTACCGATTTGTAGGAGCTTTATTATTGAGAAATAAACCTCTTGTTTGTGATAAGAATGTCAAATATTTTCTTTTTGTGTTTTGACTTTATGTCAGTTTTTTATCATGAAGAAAAAAAGGTGCGTGTAGTTTCACATGATGGAATTTATTAATCTTTTCTAATAGCATTTAAGAGCTCAAATCACAACTAGAAAAGTTTTCTCAGATCCAAAATGAAAAACAAAATTTTCTGGATTTTTCTTTAGTATTCTTACTATCTTAAATTTTAGATTTTAAAATTTTAAAGCATTGATTTTGTTTTCTTCTCAACAAATGCTGTTCCAAATTTAAGGATCCTAATGCTAAGTCTGTTCCCATACTGAAGTCCCATATAGATCATATCGATTAGTTCTAGCTGTAGTTTTCAGGACTTGGGGGTGTTTTTATTTTTTCTTTTTTTTTTTAAAGAATTATTTATTTAATTTTATTTATTCATTCATTTATTTTTTTAATTTGACCAGAGAGAAACATGACCAGAGAAAAACATAGAGACAGAGAGAGAGAGAGAGAAAGTGAGAAAGCAAGCCACCAGATCTGGGACTCAAACCATGGTCGGCCATATGAGAATGTCCAGTGCCTTAACCACCATGCCACCTGTTAGCACCCAGGGGGTGTTTTTTTTAAGACATACAGCTGGTACCAGCAGATGGCATAATGGTTACATCACTGGGCTCCCACATAGTTCACCACAGTTCAAGTCCCAGATCCAAGAGCTTAAAACATTCTGGGTACATGTGTGTGCATTCCCAAAATCCTGAGAGGAGAATAGAGGAGAAGGGATTGAGGCATGGCCACTCACCAGAGTGGGTGTGTGTGGGTGTGTGTGTGTATTTCTCACATTCTGTCTCTCTGTTGAGTGCATGTGCACTACAACAAAAACCTCTCTCTTAAAAAAAAAAAAAAGGCGGGGGGGGGGGGGCCCACAGCTTAGCCCACTGTGAAAATATATTTACAGTATTTATTGAAAAAGACGCTGGATTCCCACATAGTCGACCACGGTTTGCATCCCGGACCCGATGGCTTAGAACTCACGCCGGGCGCGTGTGCATGCGTGCCCAAGATCCCGAGAGGAGAATGGAGGAGAAAGGATTGCGGCATGACCATCCCCCCTGGGGGGTGATTTCTCGCTTTCTGTCTCTCTGTCTCTCTCTGTCTGTCTGGTGAGCGCACGTGCCCTATAGCGAAAACCTCTCAAAAAAAAAAGGCATACAGCTAAATCTGCCTAAAGTACTTTATGCAGGAGAGCATAATCTCACTGTCATTCAGCCAAATGTCTATATGCCAGGGGCTACTTAAAGTATTTAAGATCGAGCCCTGTCTTGTATGTTCTAGATCGTAGGAAAGAGATACACAGGCGACAACTAAAATTCAGTAGGACACAAGATACCATAGAGGAAAGAACACAGTCGTGTGGAGTAACAGATGCAGTAGCTCTGGGGCCCTCTGTCAAGTCACAGCATTCCTGAGCCTGTGTCCTCATCAGAAAGTGAACATGATGTCATATCACCACAACCTGAGGTGGTGGGGGTAAGTCAGTAAAAAGTGTCAAATGTCTGGCCTATCTGTTGGGGTTTTGAGACATGTTAGTTCCTTTATGTACGAATTGATAGATTAATCCAAATCCTAGCTGGAATCCAATTTCCAATTTCTCAATTGCCACCTATTTTCTATGTCTCTATGTTATTCTGTTTGATTGTACTATTGTTGGATTTTTTAGAAAGTAGACTCTAGAAGGCCAAAAATCATGTCTATGTAGTTCACTCTTATTTTAAAGCATGCCAAGCAGAAGGCTGAGTGTGCATGAGAATTGTGAATGTGCTTTTTGATGGTAACAATACCCGGATTACGGAAATAGCTTCCTTACTGGTCTTCTTGCAGATGCTCTCCAATTCATTCTCTATAGTGTGGGATTTTTTTTAATCAAAGTTTTAAAAATAAAAATCACATTCTAATTTTCTACTTCTTAAAGGTTTCAAAGGCTTCCTGTTGCTCTTAGAGTAAAATCCAAACTTCTTAGTAGCCACTAAATTCTGCATAGACTAACCTCTGTCTCCCATCTCCCCTGCTCTCAGCCTTTGGGCCCTGGCCACAGCAGCTTTCCCTTAGTCTCTCTGCGATGCACCGTCTGCACAGGGCCTAGGCATGCTGCTCCTCCTGCCTGAAATGCTCTTTTCCTCCCATTCCCATTCACCTAAGTCCTCATTCAGTTTCCTCAAGAAACCCGTTTCTAACCCCATCTAATCTAAATTAGGTCCTCCTTCTAACCCTTTTCCTAAGTAGCACTTGTCATTTTGCTGAAGGGTTTTGTTTTTGTTTTTATCATTTGATAATCTGTTTCACTGCAAGATGATCCACTCCATGAAAACTGAGACCATGTCTGTGTTTGCTCATCGTATGCTTCCATGAGTAGCACAGTTACCTGATAGAAAGCAGGTGGGCAGAAAATATAGGACAAGAGTCAGCAGGTGGCATGGTGGCTGAGGCACTGGACTTCCATATAGCCAACTACAGTTTGAGTCCCAGATCTGTCTGCTTGCTTTCTCACTTTCCTGTTCTCTCTCTCTCTCTGACCAAAATGAAAAGAAATATAATAATAATAATAATGAGAATAAATAAATAATTTAAAAAGAAAATATAGGTCAAATAAATGAACATTAAATAATAAAAACAAGCAAGAAGATATTATTTCCTTATTTCCACATAACAAATTACTCCAAAACATAGTAGCTTAGTGCAACACTATCTCTCTATTTCTGTAGGTCAGGAATATAGTAATGGTTTACTTACTAATTCTTGTTTTTGACTTTCATGAGGCTATAGTCAGTGGGGGCTGCAGTCATCTGAAGTTTTATCTGAGGCTGAAGATCTAATTCCAAAGTACTTCAGCTTAGTCACAGACCACCTTGCAAGTTTTGACCGGATGTTGTCAAGAAACCTATTACTCTCATGTGGCCTCTCCACAGGGCTGCTTGAGTATCCTCATGACATGGCAGCTGGCTTCCACCTGAGAAAGTTTTCCAAGTGTACAAGGCAGGAACTGCATCAGAAGTCACATACCATTAGTCAGCGGTATTTTATCGGTCACACAGGTCAGCTCTGATTAATTGGGGCGGGGGCAGGGGACTATCCAAGGGTGTGAATATCCAGAGGCATAGATGATGGGGGGCCATGACAGAGGCTGGCTATCACAAACATCTCTATTCAGCTCTCCTATCTTAAGACCTGCTATGATTTAGATAATGGTTTGTCCCCCAAAGATTCATGTTCTGGAAACTCGGTCTCAGTATAATGACTTTGGAAGGTGGTAAGATTTTTAAGAGGCCAGCCTAATGAGATGGCACCATCCAATCATCTAGGAGCATGGGAGGGACTAGAGAGGAAGCACAAGAGTCTATTTTCTCTTCCTCTCTCTCTGCACATACCTACCTTCCTCTCTGCTTCTGTCAGCCATATTGTGATGACGGTCCATGCCTTTTGATTTTCCAGCCACCAGAACTGTGAGCCAAATAAACCTCTATTCTTTCTAAATCACCCAGCCCCAGATATTTCTGCTTAGCAACACGATAATGAACTAAGACAAGGCCCCTGATGCATGGAATGTTTGTACCAAGGAGGCAAAGCATCATTCCCTGGAGGCCTCTCTACGTCCCCTAGAACCATCCTTAGTTTCCAAATTCTGAAACCCTAGTCAGTGAAAATCCCAAGAGGAGACATTTTCTAATAAGTCTCAGCAGTGAGTTAGTTCTGCCTCCCAAAGTTTCTGTCCCAGACAAGTGACGAGGAAATCACATTCACTTTCCTACTATGTCACTTACCTAGTGCTATATAAAAAGTTACCACAAAACTTAGAGGCTTAAGACAATAATGTTTATTACCTCACTCTTGCTGTGGGTCAGGAATTTGGACACAACTAAGCTGGATCTTGTGGCAAAGCATCTCTTGCAAAACTGTAGTCACAGTGTAGAGCTGGGGTCCACATTTACCTCGAGGTTCAACAGAGGTAGGACCAGTTTTACACAGGTTGTTGGACTGAGGACCCCAGCTCCTTGCAGGCTGTTTTCTGAGCTACAGTGGAGCTCACAATTCATTCGCTGACTTCATCAAAGGGAGCGAGCAAGAGAGAGTACACTCAGAAGGTGGAAGTCAGTGTTCGTAATCTTGGCAATGACATTCCATCGGTCTTGGTGTAGTCGCGTCATTAGGAGCTAGGCACAAGGTCCAGCTCGCACTGAAGAAGAGGGGATCCTGCAAGGCCATGAACAGCAGGAAGGATCACTGGGGGCCTGGGTTGCCTGCATACCTACAAGCTCCCTGAGCTCAGGAGTGTCTCTCTGCTTAGCAGAGACACCGTGTTGCATCCCACTCCAGTTTTACTGTTTCTTTCCTTTTTGGGAATGACCCTATAGCTAGGCAAACCTGGGATTTTCTGGAGGAGGCTGGAAAAATTCTCTGTACTTTCTCCAGTTTCAAGACTGGTTCCCCTTTCTTAAAAGAACACAAATACTCTATATTATTTTTCTGATTTCAAAAGTCATATAAGCTCACTGTCAAATTCAAATCATGCTAAAGTCCTAAAGCTATAATGAAAGTTCCGTAGCATTTCTTCCATACCCCAGAGGTGACCCACGTTTACAGTTCAGTGTATCTTCTAGCCCCTTTTTCAATACATATGCTAATATCATGTTTATTATTTTACCAAAAATGTATCAAACTCTTCTTTATTACTTATGTCATTGTTATGTTTATGTATGGTAGAGAATGGATGCTCAAGAGCGAGAGAAGCACCCTTAACAGGGTCTTATCACTCCACGATCCCTTTCTCTGATTCTTCAGGATCTTGGGCACACACACGCACATGCACGCGTGCACACCTGCACACACTCAACACATGTAAGGTCAGCTGGGCCGAGGATCCGAACCTTAGCTGGCGGCTTAGTTTCCAGCCCTGCAGTAGAGTGTTCCGTGGATTGAGTCACCAGACTGGGCTTTGAACTCTTCTTTAGGTTTTTGTTTTGTTTTGCTTAAACCGAACGTTGGTCATCTTCTCCCATCAGCACATGTAGACCTGCTTCATTCTCTTCCTACAGGAATAGATCATAATTACTTTTATTTAATCATTGCCCTATTGGTGATCACGTGGGTTGTTTCTTCAACTTTTACCTATAATAAACATTGCTGCAATGTATGTATGTATCTGGGGGTGGGGGTCCTGCACTTTGCTGTATTTTGTGGAACTGGTTTCTAGAAGTGGAAAGCTGGCTCAAAGCATATTCCTGGTGTTTTAAAATATCCTCCAGAGGGACCAGAAGTTAGTGTAATGGCTATGTCGCTGGACTCCCACGTAGTCGACTACGGTTTGCGTCCTGGGCCCAGTGGTTTAAAACTCACACCAGGCACGTGTGCGTGCGTGCCCAAGATCCCGAGAGGAGAATGGAGGAGAAGGGATTGCGGCGTGACCATCCCCCCTGGGGGGTGATTTCTCGCTTTCTGTCTCTCTGTCTCTCTCTGTCTGTCTGGCGAGCGCACACGCCCTATAGCGAAAACCTCTCAAAAAAAAAAAAAAAAAAAAGGGGGGGGCCTCCAGAAAAAGTCATACCAATTTCCAAAACTGAATATAGGTATCTTTTAGAATGGAACCCCTGGATGAACTGGTCTATTGCTTTTTGAAGAGCTCCAGGGTCCTGTAAATTATGGAAATACAGTGAAGGGAAACTTGTTCTGTCACAAGACCACGGCTATAATAAAAACCCTCGGATTAGTTCTCGGCGGACACTGGTCTGCTTTATGTCTCTGTGCCAGTGCACCAGGAAATGAAGCTGTGTGGGCCTCACTCACATAGCCCAGCTCCCACTCCCACCAAGCAGGGTGACACTGTGAGGTGCACCCACCGGAGGCAGCTCCTCATCTGGGCAGAGCACTTACAGGACAGATGAGTCCAGAATGGACCCACCGATATTCTTGCCTGGCACAATGGGTGACCAATTTTGTTCCCAAGCAGATGAAGGGGATCCTGCAGGGCCTCTGGGCTGAGATGGTTCCTGGGCGGAGCAGTCCCAATCCAGCAGCCTAGGGGTGAAGTGCTGGGGTGGAGCTGAGGAACTCAAAATCCAGAAACTCCAACCAACTGCTGGCACATATAAGTGAGGCTATGCCAGGGCCAGTTGAGGACGTGTTTGTTCCTGTTACAAGACCACACTCGTGATCCCCCACCATATGCCCCACCACAGCTCAAGTGGTGACAAGTGGGTGTGCACACAGGTAAAGTTCACAGAGCTGTACACTTAATACATAGTATTTTATATATATTAGTTCTATTCTTTTTTTTTTTTCTTGGAGAGGTTTTTTGCTATGGGGCACGTGCACTCGCCAGACAGAGACAGAGAGACAGAAAGCGAGAAATCACCCCCCCCAGGGGAGATGGCCATGCCGCAATCCCTTCTCCTCCATTCTCCTCTTGGGATCTTGGGCACGCATGCACATGTACCCAGGGTGAGTTTTAAGCCACCAGGTCCAGGACTCGAACTGCGGTAGACTACATGGGAGTTCAGCGACATAGCTCTGGGCTGAGATGGTTCCTGGGCGGAGCAGTCCCAATCCAGCAGCCTAGGGGTGAAGTGCTGGGGTGGAGCTGAGGAACTCAAAATCCAGAAACTCCAACCAACTGCTGGCACATATAAGTGAGGCTATGCCAGGGCCAGTTGAGGACGTGTTTGTTCCTGTTACAAGACCACACTCGTGATCCCCCACCATATGCCCCACCACAGCTCAAGTGGTGACAAGTGGGTGTGCACACAGGTAAAGTTCACAGAGCTGTACACTTAATACATAGTATTTTATATATATTAGTTCTATTCTTTTTTTTTTTTCTTGGAGAGGTTTTTTGCTATGGGGCACGTGCACTCGCCAGACAGAGACAGAGAGACAGAAAGCGAGAAATCACCCCCCCCAGGGGAGATGGCCATGCCGCAATCCCTTCTCCTCCATTCTCCTCTTGGGATCTTGGGCACGCATGCACATGTACCCAGGGTGAGTTTTAAGCCACCAGGTCCAGGACTCGAACTGCGGTAGACTACATGGGAGTTCAGCGACATAGCCATTACACTAACTGCTGGTCCCAGTTCTATTTTCAAAAAGGGGGAGGAGAAAGGAAAAGAGAAGGTAGGGTGAAAGAGAAATTCAAAAAGGACAGGGCAATACAGCCTCAATGCATCCTGCCGCCACTCAAGCACACCTCTCTGCAGGGTGCCGAGACAAAGGAAGACTGTGGGCCTTTCCCTGAGGTACAGCCTGTGCCAAGGGACCGGCTGGTATTGTCCTGAGCCCTTTGCTCAGCAATGCCTCGGCCTTTGTGCAGAGTCAGAAGGACAAAGGCTGGAGTAATAGAAGACAGGAGAGGTCCCTGCAGTCACAGAATGCGCAATGTGATACTGCCTAGTATTACCAGGTGACCGCCCCACCTTCCCTTTTACCTTATGACCTTTCCCCCTCATTCCTGTAGAGAAAGAGCAGGCTGCTGTTTGTCCCATAGGAGAATTGTCAGGATGGATCCAGAGAGCAGGGACAGCAAATTGTCCTCTTGTTCATCCAAAAGCCATGGTCCTTATGTGACACTGAAAGGGAAGCAGGCCAGCTGGAGGTCTGGCAGGACAGCCGCCATTTTGAAATTAAGAAAGGCCTCTGATGAGAACAATCTGACCAAGTGCTGAGTCATGGGCAGGTCTGCTTGAGGAAGGGTCAAATGAGAAATTAGGAATGGGAATTTGCAGAAAAACAGGACTCTGGATAATTTCTCAAAGGCAAGCAAGCGATGTTGACTGATGGTCGTGAGGAATGACCTGCATGTGCGTGTATCTTGTATCTATAAATGCTAAGCATATGCTGGTCTTTCCGAGAGGGCTTGGAGGTGCTTGCTGTCTGTCTCCCTGCAACCCAGCTGCAGAAATAAACTCCCAGCCTCTGCTTCTTATTTCTTCAACCACGAGTAGAGGAGGTTGGACTGAATTTGCTGGATACAAAAGAAGATGCAGAATGTTTGCAAAAGTTCATCTCCTCTCTCCACCATCCTCTTCTCTTCCAACTACTCCCTATTCCCATTCTCCGCACCCCCTGACAAGTTAAAGAAGAGAACGCAACCAGCTGGAGGAGAGACAAGGTTTATTCCCTGGTGAGGACTTGGAGCAGAGCTGCCCCATTCTCTCCCAGGGATAGTGAACTTCAAGGAGGAACAGTAGAGTGACCCCTGAGAAAACTCTGGGCATTGCAGAGGACGGAAACTTGGTAGGGTTAGATCCAAAGTGTCTTAGTATGTCCAAAACTAAAGAAGACTGTGTTTTCTGTCTCCAGAAGAAAAAAAGGAATTAAAAATAGCTTGGAAAAATAAAGACTTTTTTGGGCATATCTGTATTTGTGGCAAAATGTCTATTTGTCACAGAAGTCCAGTTCTATAAAGTGGATGTTTTTGCTTTCATTCTGTGTCACCCTTATCATGAAGACATTTTCCAAATCACCTGGGTGCCCTAACTGGCAAAGTTGAAAAGAGGAAATAAAGGGGACCAGCAGTTAGCGTAATGGCTATGTCGCTGGACTCCCATGTAGTCGACCGCGGTTTGAGTCCCAGACCCGGTGGCTTAAAACTCACGCCAGGCACGCATGCGTGCATGCCCAAGATCCCGAGAGGAGAATGGAGGAGAAGGGATTGTGGCATGGCCACCACCCCCGCCGTGGGGTGATTTCTCGCTTTCTATCTCTCTGTCTCTCTCTGTCTGTCTGGCGAGTGCACACGCCCTATAGCTAAAACCTCTCCAAAAAATAAAAAATAAAAAGAGGAAATAAAGGAAAATTTTGGCTCAGCTCCAGCCCTGTGGACATTCTTATCCAGAGTGTCAGCTCAGACACTGAGTGGAAAGTAGAGGGCCCTCGATTTCCCCTCTACTCTTGCCCGAGGGAGCTGCTTCCAGGCCCCATGCTAGAGCTGCCAGACCAAATTAGGAAAACAGAGTCATGTGATGATGACCGGCTTGTTCCACCCCCTCTACTTCCTCATTCCTGAACATGACTCAGGAGACACCCAGGAATTGGATGAGGTTGACAAGTCCCATTGATCATTTGACAAATACCACCTGATCACCCACTAGGACTCAAGCAAAGAGGCACCATAAAGAAGGCTTCTTCCCCAGCCTGGCTCCCCCGCAACCACTGCCCCTTCTCCCCCTCCCTTGGTCACTTCCACCCTGATCTTGGCCTCCCCAGAAGTGGAAATGTTCCTCTCATTACCCCTGGGTGTGAGGGTTTGCTTCTGAGAGCTGCACTGGAGGATCAATTGGCCGAAAGGAGCAGGTGGTGTTTTTTTCCTCCCAAGTTCACGAAGAGCAGATGAACCTCGGAGTCTTTGACCTCTACCTCCCTACAGAGGTGCTGGGTGAACGGAAACGTGGAGTAATCAGCTGAGGCGCAGAAACCCCGACTCCGGGGCTTAAATGGTTGGGAAATCTAAAGCAAGAGCAATGATAACGAGCCTAATGCTGTCTGTGTGGCAAACTGGACCCAGAATAACGTGAGGGCTGCACCGGTGTTGCGGTGTCACACATCACAAGAGGCACAGAACATGTCACGAAAAGCCTGGAGGCCAAAGGACATCCAGAAAAGAAAAAGGAAACCTTTGGGTTCCCCGAAGATGACCATCAGCACAGCCAGGCTGCTAGCACACTCGCTCTGGGAAGGCAGAGTGAACTTGAAGGTGTCTGTTAAAGTATGAAGAAATTAAGCAGAAGCCTTTACCCCTTCCAGAAATGGTACCAGCCCACACATAGAGCTCACTTCACTCGGCCTGGGATTGTCCCTGAAGGTTTTATCTTAGCACGTCTTCCTTCCTTTCTTTTCCTTTCTTCTTTTCTTTCCTTTCTTTCTTTCTTTCTTTCTTTCTTTCTTTCTTTCTTTCTTTCTTTCTTTCTTTCTTTCTTTCTTTCTCTTTCCTTCCTTCCTTCCTTTCTTCTTTCTCTCTTTCCTTTTTCTTTTCCTTTCTTTCTTCGTTTCTTTTTGGCCATAGGGCATGTGCTCTGGCCAAAGAGAGGGAAAGTAAGAA